TTGTCAGGAGAAAACATTCATCATTCCTTTTCTGCCTCTTTTCCAGGGCCGGGGTCGCGGGGGCAGCAGTCTTACAAGAGAACCCCAGACTCCCCTTTCTTCAGACACTTCGTTCGGCTCCTCCAGGGGGGATCCCGAGGCGTTCCCAGGCCAGCCGAGAGACATGTTCCCCGAGGCCTCCTCCTGGTGGGACATGCCTGGAACACCTCCCTGGGTAGGCATCCAGGAGGCATCCGAAACAGATGCACAAGCCCCCTCTGACTGCTCTCAATGTGGAGGAGTAGCGGCTCTACTGCGGTCTGGGTCAGAAGAGTGCAAACTAAGGTCACACACACACACACACACACACACACACACAGCCTGGGACAGAAGCTGGAGAAGTTGTCGAGTCTCTCCACGCAGAAACCCGCGTCTTCTTTCTTTCCTCCAACACACACAGATGTTGTTGCCGCCATCGCGTGGTCAAATGCAGGCAGTGTGTGTTCACTCAAGTTTTCACTCGTGTATTCACTCATAACGTGTTTATATCGACAGATATCCATAGATTTAGTCAAACTTTGTAAACGCGAACAAACAATACTTCTTCAAAACTCTGAACTGAAGCGAGTGACGAGAGCAGACCGCAAGCAAAAGCAGTGCATGAGCAGCGCGTGTGGAGAACAGAAGCAGCACGCAGCCGTTTGCCTTTCACACCAGCTGCGTCTGCAGCGCGCAGCTCTCCGGCAGCTGCTGCATAGATCAATCTATCTCTATCTCTATGTCTATTCTATCTAGTTATGAACAGCTCCCGGGTGGAATAAATAGAGTGAACATAAAACAAAGCTGAGTAAAACTTTCTTCCTCAGCTTCAGCGGCACAGCACACAGCGAGCTCACATCATCCAGCATGCGTGTCGAACTACACTACCCACAATACACTTCGCTGCAGACTACAACTCCCTTACATAGCAAGTCTTAAAGCGACCACTCCCCTTTCCTGAAACACCAGCGTGCAACTTAAGCAAAACTGATGCTATAATTGTTTTACATTTGGTTTTGTAGTTCGGGCCTAAATAAATGTTTGCTGCAGTTTTTAATCGTTTTAAGTTCATTTGAATGACTATATATAAATCAGTTGATATTATTAACGCATTTATTGGGTAAAATTGCTACTTTTTACTGTTATTCAATGTGTTTTGGTCATTATCAATGCACAAAATAAACAATAAAAAATAGGACTTATTATGACTCCAGAATAATTATTTTTTTAAGGAAACAGTGTAAACATTTTCAGAAACATTATTGTGAATGAATAAAAAAATAAATTGACTTCAACTATAAACTTTAACAGGCCTACAGTTGCAGCAATCTGCCTTGATGTACTTGAATGTTAGAAATATATTCTCCAACACCAGTATAACTTTACTTGTCAAATAAATAAACAAGGAATATTATTTTGAGTTTAAGTTATTTAATTATCTTGCTTATGAAGACTGCAGAGTGATGCATGAACAAAAATTACTTTGAATGTTTTAAGTATTTTGTGATGTATATGTTAAAATGTGCTCCTAAAAGTGTGTGGCCCCTGCTCGCCCCCCACAGGTTAATAGTAAGCTAATGTAATTTCATAATGCAAATCCATTCTAACTAATTCTAACCATTCTAAATTCATGCTAACCAACAAATTATCAAAGGAAATGTAATAATGTAATACAATATGCATTGATGTTTACTTTAAACTGTAATTATATTGTTCTATTAAAATTATTTTAAAAATATTTTGTCAAATAAAATAGTTATCCACCATCAGTTTGTGGCTAAAAAGTATCAGGCATCGTTATCGTTTTAAAAGTATCGATTTGGCACCGGTATCGAAAAAAAAAAAAAAACGATACCCAACCCTACTCAAGAGTGCATTAACTAATAGTAAATTACTCCAATTATTAAATGCTATAAAATATTGTTTGTGTCAATACATATCTTTGTGTCCTGTATTGTAAAGTGTTACCAGTGAATGTTCTCAAATGTTCAATGAAATCTCTCAGATCCTCTGAAGAATATAAAACATCAGACATGCACTTCATCTTCATGACCGCCAGATGGCAGTCAAGTAAAGCAGAAGCTGTGAAGAATGAGCACACTCGCATGACACGCTCTTCAAACATTTAATTAAAAAATATTGTAGCATTCTTTTTTTTTAAATTCTTTGTTTATTAATTTTAATGAACATACAAACGTAAACAAAAAAGGGCAAAGACAAATGTATCAGTAGACAAGTATAGCAGCAAAAGGCAAAGAGAATAAAAATTTAATCAATTTAAAAATAGTAATAATAATAATAAAGAAATAAATAAACATACAAACAAAATACAAAATAATAATAATAATAATAATACACAAAGTTATGCCGTGGTTAAGGTCAAACATATTGTGAAAATACATCAGATGTGTTCATAGAGTCAGAGGATCATTAGAGGCATCCATATTTTTTGAAAGGCATCCCCTTTGTTTTTTAAGTAGTTTGTATATTGTTCCAAGAGCATTGTTTCATTCAAGAGTTTTATGAACAGTTCAAATGTTGGAGGTTTTTGTTGGTTCCAGTTGAGCAAAATGCATTTTTTTTTGCTAGATAGGAGATGATGCCGAGTCTCTTTATAGAAATAGGATCAGGTGTCTTGTTCAGTTCTGTACCAGAGGTATAGTGTTGGTGTGTTGTCCAATGGAACTTGCAAAGCTTTGGCTGTAAAGTCCTGTACTGCTTTCCAGAAAAATTTTAGCTTTTTGCATTCCCAAAAAACATGCATGATTGATCCTGAATAGGTTTTACACCTGTGACACCTGGATGATGCATTAGGGTACATTTTGCTCAATTGAAGTGGGGTCAGATACATCCTATGCATAAATTTAGTAGCATTCTTAATGTTGACACTACCTGTTTTCTGGCTTCTAGTATATTTTTCAGTAGGTGTTTAATCATTCTACAAGTCTACAAGTGCTCATTCTTTAGGCATTAGTGCCTTTTCTTTTAAATATACTATTGTTAATTTGTTAACAAGTACTTATTCTGTAGTATGGAGACCTGGAAGGGACGTGATGGTAGAGGAAAAATGGGAAAGTTTTTGCGTTCCCTCGCAACGATGTTTTGCATAAATACAGTACAGTAACAATAACACAGTAGCAGTTTAACAATTGTTAATAAGTTCTGTATTAATTACTTTTAAGTTGTTGAAAATCAAAATATCAGTCAGTCTGCTTAGAATTTACAATATGAGCTCTCTTAGGTTAAAGCAATCATAATTTGCTTGTGATGTGTATTTTCCCCAGATAGAACAAAGGGGTCTCTGCCAACACTAATTGTGCACCAAATGCTGCAGATATTTATTAATTTATATTTATTTATTTATTTAAGAGGGAAATTCTGTGTGGAGTTTGCATGTTTTCCCTGCGTTCGCATGGGTTTCCTCCAGGTGGTCCGGTTTCCCCCACAGTCCAAATACATGCGGTACAGGTGAATTGGGTAGGCTAAATTGTCTGTAGTGTATGAGTGTGTGTGTGTGTGTGTGTGTGTGTGTGAATGAGTGTAAGAAGGTTTCCCAGAGATGGGTTGCGGCTGGAAGGGCATCCGCTGCGTAAAAACATATGCTGGATAAGTTGGCGGTTCATTCCGCTGTGGCGACCAGAGATCAATAAAGGGACTAAGCCGACAAGAAAATGAATGAATGAATGAATAATCCAATTTGTCATGGCAGTTTTCATGTTAAGGGAGTGTTTGTACTTTTTTTTTTTTTTTTTATGCCACGTCTCTTCACTCTTCTCTCCTTTTTGATCATGTGACGATAACAAGCAACAATCAATGAAATGGTCAATGGAGGGGGGGGGGGGGGGGGGAGTAAATTTTTTATTAAATAAAATGCAATATTATAATCATTTAAAATGCAAAGTAAGAATTTTACCAGAACACATTTATTTATTTTTATTACCTGAAACTTCTATTAAGGATAATTTCAGAAATAGTTTTGGCACAATGCCCCCCTGTTTCTCGTCGCACATACCGGATACCCCTTTTTTCAACCCCTGCACTCAACCTCCTATTTTATCCTATTTAAAACTAATTCTAAAAGTCTTAGACTTGATTTGACTGCTGGACTGCTCCATGATTGGGGTGGGGGACGAAATTCAACCCATGCTCATTCTGAAAATGTACCTCTATATACACATGTGTCTGGAGAGCGCCAAATACGTTTTTTTTTTTTTTTTTTTTGCAGTTTTTGTTTTCGGGAATCCACCAGAGGCCACTGTCGACTGACTAATTTATTTTCTCGTAAACAATTAGAGAACCATTTAAAAACACTTGATTTTTCGAGAAATAGGGTGAATAATATAGTTGTGGCTTAAATATGCTAGTTGAACGATGTTCAATAACCACTTCAACAAAACCCTTTCAGAGTTTTGCCTCAGCATCTGTAACCTTCAGTTCTTGTATGTCTTTGTTTGGTGGATAAAGATGGGTTTTTGGCCACATTTTTCTTGGATGTCCACCGTTTGAAATGCTTGGCTGATTGTCCGGGTGAACCTCTGGATACCTGTTGACTGGCGCAGCATCTCTGATTAAACATATTTGCAAGCATTTGCAGTTCAACAAAGCCAAACCACTGGAGGATAGAATCACATTTTGACAGTAATCAAATGGGGTTAGCACTGTCGCCTCACACCAAGAAGGTCGCTGGTTTGAGTCCCAACTGGGCCTGTTGGCGTTTGTGTGGAGTTTGCATGTTTTCCCTATGTTGGCATGGGTTTCCTCCACAGTCCAAACACATGCGCTGTAGGTGAATTGAAGAACTAAACTGGCTGTAGTGTATGAGTGAGTGTGTGAGAGTGTGTTTGGGTGTTTCCCAGTACTGGAATGCAGCTGGAAAGGCATCCGCTGTGTAAAGCACATGCTGGAATAGTTGGTGGTTCATTCCACTGTGGCGACCGCTGATAAATAAGCGAATAAGCTGAAGGAAAACGAATGAAACAGTAGGTTTTATAAATGTATTTATTCTGTAAATAGAACTTTCATAAACATCAGCAATTAAACATGTTCACCATTAAGGAGAGTACAAGAAGAAGAACGCATGAATACGTACACACACGAAAATAAAGATGCAACCGCATTATGGATGACTGACATCACGGCTAGATCAGGTATTTCCAGTCTAGATTGAGTCTTATTGCTAATGTCTCTGAGTAATAAGTGGCGTCGCTATATAATTCAACACATTATATAGCCAAACAGAGTTATGATCAGCGGTCGGGAGTCGTTTGGGGTTTGAACATTGACATGAAAAGTGATATACGAATAAAACTGAAGAGAAGAAGATAGAAAATAATCTAAATGTAACCATACTCCAACATAAATGCAGATTCCCAACTCCCATCCGGGTCACGGCACCAGATTTCACCCGAAATCCTCAGTCTTGCAGCACAAAAATAAAGAGAAATCCGCCCCCAAAAAAGATGAGACTCCTCAAAATGGGAGCATTTAGGTCCAGTTTCCTCAGGCCTCTGTTTATAGGATTATTGAGACATGTGTAGCATGCAGTCTTGATATCATAAACTTCAATATAGTTGATCTAAGCAAGTTTAAAACGGTTGTCTCAATGCTCCGGGCCTTATTTTAGGACGAGTATTATTCAGTTCAAGACTATGCCCTCTCACGAGATTAAATAACACACACACACACAGACAAACAAACAGCGCTTGACAAGTGGTTAGCAACACAAGCAGAAAAAAAAATAAACACAGCAATGTTTTGTGGACAGAAATGCCGAAAATAAAACATGCAACAGTGGAAAACGAGACATAATATGCAGGCACATGACTGATGGAGGCTTAAAGGATGATATGCTTGAGTTTCCCTCCTCGACATTCTTGCATCGTGGTAAAGTCTGTACAACCCGGGTGTACAGGTAGGCATCTTAGGGTAGGAGGCTACAGGTTTGGTGAGCTGGCGCTACACATGTTTAATACACCTTGAAAATCAGGCAATTAAAGGAGGGAATTATATGGCTTCAAAAACAGACCTCCTTCATTTTTCCTCAGGAAAGACGGCGGCCATTTGTGTACAGTTTCAAGGTTTTTATGAGCAGCCGAAAACACAGAAGCGTTCAAGAGTCCAATCCTTTGGTTATTTGTTGGGGGGGACCACTGCGTATTCCTCGTTGCTGATTATATGCTCTGATTAACAGAGCTTGATAAGTGTGACATCAGAGAAAGTCTGGCTGGTGATTGGACAAGTGGGGGGAGGGAGGTAAAGGGGCAGGCGTCTTCAAACTCGGTCCCTTTTTTTGTTTTTTTGGGCTGGTGCTTTAACAATGAGAGACCTCCATGGGCGAGAGCGTCAGGATGCTCCGGTCGTTGGAGAAGAAGGTGTCGGAGTCGTGCCAAGATCTGGAAGTATTAAGGAAATTGCGAACAGTGAGGGCGAGAATGGAGATGTGTTCAATTCAAAGCTGCGCTAGAGTCTGGCATAAGGGATGCTCATTATTTTTCTGGGACCTGAATGTTAAGTATGAAAGTTCTAAGAGGTCATGCAATCAAATGTTTTTTTTCGCTCTCGTTTTCCCATGTTTACGACTTTTTTTTTCGTGAACTTGACATAACTCATTTCCTCATGATCTCAACTTATTATTTTGTGATCTCGACATAAAATAAGTTGTTTTCTCGTTATTACAACTTTTAATTTCACATGATCTTAATGCGACTCGTTTTCTTGTGATCACGACTTTTTCGACATAAAATTTCGACATTTCGAAAAGTCATTTCGACATAAAATAAGTTGTTTTCTTGTTATTACTTTTAATTTCTTGTGATCTCGACAACTAATTTTCTCGTGATCACTTTCATTTTATGTGAAAAACAAAAAATATTGTTTTCTTATGATCACTACTTAATTTAACCATGACATAACAAAAAGATGTTTTCTTGTAAAAATGACTTTTATATTCTCTTAATCTCGACTTTTAATTTCTTATGATCTCAACAACTCATTTTCTCATCACTTTTATTTTCTTGTGATCATGAATTTCTCGTGATCATGACTTTCTCGTTATCACGATTTTTTTCTCTCGTGATCATGACTTTCTCGTAATCACAATTTTTATTTTCCCGTGATCATAACTTTCTCGTGATAACGACTTGTTTTCTCGTGATCATGACTCTCGTAATAACAACTTATTTTCTCATGATCTCGACTTATGTCGAGATCACGATAATAAGATTATGGGAAAATAACTCATTTTTTTGTCATCACAACTTAGTTTTCTCGTGATTTCAACATTACTCATTATCACAACTTTTATTTTCTTGTGATCTTGATGTAATTGATTTTCTCGTGATCTTGACACTGAAAAGTTTTTTCTCATGATTACGACTTATTTTCTGGTGATTTTTGTTATTATGACCTCGACATTAAATAAGATCTCGACATGAAAAGTTGTTTATGTGATCTTAATTTTATTTTTTTTTGCTTTTATTTATTTGTTTCAATAATTATTAATATTACTGATTATTTATATTTATACCCACCCAATGCAAAACCAAATTACCCACATGAACGCATTAAGGGTGTTATAACTCGAGTGAACGAGTCATGCTGAGATTGTGAGAAAATTAAGTCCTGATCACTAGAGAAAAAAAAATATTTGATTGCATGGCCTCTTAGAACTACATTAATTAAGCAATACACTATATACATATATATATATATATACATATATATATATATATATATATATATATATATATATATATATATATAAACAAACATTGCAATATTTTATTTTTCTGTGAAACATTGAACATAATTTCAGCAGATGACTTGATTGGCTCTGTTTGGAATAAAAAGTTACTTCAAAGTGTAACAAATCATGTTTTTGTCAACTGTGGCTCCTGGTCAACTATAATCCTGACCCTCATATTGCGATATCGATGCTGAAACTATATATTGTGCAGCCCAATTATATACAAGTCTTAATATATAATCCTTTATGGGTTTCTTCAACCAAAAATGAAGATACTGTAAGTATTTACTCATTCCTAACCCGTAAGACCATTCTATTCATATTTAAGACTCAGGTGGCAATATTTTGAGATGTTTCTTTTTTCTTACTGGCACAGGACTGCTTGTGCTTAACTGAATTAAATCATTGTCGGGGCTAGTGCATTTTCCTCATGGCATCCATTACTTTAGTACTCCATTAAGATGTCACAAAAGTATCATTGATCGATGCACATCAAAAATAGCAGACAAAACCATTTTTGAGCTTCAGTTTAACATGTAGGTAGGAGACTTACAAGATCAAAAGTCTGTACACATTTTGATGGAAAAGGTTTTCAATGGATGGACAGAAATCTCTGTTTTAAAGGAACAATCCACTTTTGTTTTTGGAAAAATGTGCAAATTTTACATCTCTTCTAAAGTTAAACAGTTAATTATAATTATTGAATTAATTTAGTCAGGTCTTGAACTGCTAGCTTAGCCCATACCATTGAATCGTATTAGACCATTAGCATTTCACTAAAAATGTCCAAAAAGTTTAGATAATTTTACTATTTAAAGCTTGACTCTTCTGCTGTTAAGATTGATGGAAAATTAAGCTAGTTTTCCTAAAAACTTGTGTAGTTGAAAAGCTATTTTCTAGGCTGATATGTTCTAGAAACTATACTCTCAATCCAGCGTAATAATCAAAGAAATGTCCAGCTAATGAGGCCAGCTAACGAGGTGCTATGCAGGTAAACCTCACTCCTCTGACCTCTAAAGGTGCTCTAGCGACAGGTGCAAGACGCCATAGTCTTTAGCTTTCTTGTTAGAGCAACCGACATGCACAGAATCTCCGGTTCGATCCAAACTCAGAGCGGGTTGGGTGCAGTAATACCGATGGGTTACACGTGGGGGCTCGTCCGGGATGGGAGTAAGTATAACGCAGGCCAGCTAGCGAAGAGCTTTGCAGGTAAAAAGGCGAAGTGCTTTGCCTCACTCCTCTAACCTCTAAAGATGATCTAGCGACAGATGCTAGAGGTCATGGTCTATAGCCTTCTTATTATAGCAACTGACTCCCATGCATAGAATCGCCGGTTCGATCCCAGCTCAGAGTGTGTTGGGTTCAGTAGGACCGGTGGGTTACAGAAATTTGCTGCTTTAACATGGCTGCAGAAGACACAATGATATTACATCTTGTGTCAATATATCCTATGACTATTTTTAAGTGCGCCTGCAGCAGCCATGGCACAGCAGCACATTTCCTTAAAGCTTTAGCGAGGTCAATTATCGAAACTTTCTAGTCCTTTTAGAGCAAGATACTTATGATCTAATCCGATTCAATGATCTATGCTAAGCTACAAGTGTTCCTTTCAGACGCAAAGATGAGCTGAATGGATTCAGAAACGGTCAAACTGTTGTTTAACTCTATGACAGTTGTAAAAGTAGCCTTATTTTAAGCGGACTGTTCCTTTAAATACAAATATCTCCACCTGAGTTTGGATCAACGTCATAATTATGCTAATTTAACGGTCCTCAAGAAAGTGACATCATATTTAGGTGGCGACAAACTCAGCAATTTTTGGTATTACTTGAGTTCATCTCACTCTTACTTCAACCCTGTTGGAATCAACGACTAAACTTAATGGTAATGACTTCAAGATTGGCTTTTAAAAGGTATTAACACTCAATATCTCACTGAGGTACTTTAATTCAGTTCTCTTTTGGCAAGTGTTAGTAATTACTGGCTTGCTCTAACTGGACTGTAAGTGTGCATATATCTCATATACACTTGTTACTATACGCAATCCAATCCAATATTTTCACACAAATCTACTCTAAATCTCTCTTTGAAAAGTGCATGAAGAGCAGCAAGCAACAGTCAAGAGTCACAGCCAATGGAGAGATGAATGAGGACGGGTTAGTACAAGATGGGTTAAAATGCGTGTGGTTAAAGAACAATGAACAAATATAAACACAACATCCTTCCACAGCCTTGACATTCGCATAGATAACATTCTCATGAAACTATTGACCTCCTCCTTATTTGTTGGGTACTGTACCTACATATCAAACACAGACCCTTTACAGTATAGATAGATAGAGATAAGTAAATATAGAAAGTAATTCATAACATAAATCTATTGCTTGTAGAAAAATATGTGTATATAGGTTTGCTATAAAACGTGTATATATGTAAATAGAGTGTAATTAAGCAGCCCTTGAGGATCGGAGCCGTTTCAAAGCTGTATTCCTCAAACGCCGTATACCTGCTACTCCTGAACACCAGAGGGCATTGTCTTCCTCAAGTGGACAAATCCTCTTCATGTACAGCCGTTTTTATAAATAGACCCATGCTATATAAGATCAAGATTACATCGACAGCTACAGTAATGCGATTATCTTTGGATCACGTGTAAGGAGTAATAGAGGGCCGGTTAAACGTACCGTCACTGTATGTTGCAGATGAAGACAACCGTTTTAAGATCTTGAGGAGGTAAAACGTCTAACTCAAGAGTGTGTACTGGCATTTGCATGGTTAAATGTACGTATACGCTAGGTAAATGTTGCTTCAAACTGGCTTCATACCATAGTAAACAATCTCCTTCATTGTCTAGCATGCAGTGGTTCTCAACTGGTTTGGGATCCAGAATCTGCTCTGGATATCAAGTCCATCGATGTAGTAAATATTGTGAAAATAAGATTTAGGTTTCCCAAATGTGAATTGGGTGCATTTCCATTAGGCTCACTGTAGCATTGGTTACCTAGCAACAAACAGTAAACAAGGCGTAAATGAGTCACGTGGGTGTAATGTTCGCTATAGGGTTGGGTTGATCGACGATGCCATAGTTCATCGCCGATAGACATCACGATGCTGAGCTGGAATATCGGTCCTCCGCCACGCCCCATCTCAGCAGCAAGTCGCTTGCGAAAAATACACACTTAGGCCCCATTTAGACTAATATAACTTAGTTTTAAAACGCCACATTAGAACGAAAACAACCCATATACACACTGGCGATTCATCTAGGATTTCTGAAAGCTCTCCTTCCACACTATACCACTGAAAACGCACATCACATGACCACACACACACTGTCAAGCTGCAGTTTATGCGCACGTCTGAGCTCCAGCAGTCAGCGGGTGCTTTGAGCACAAAACCCCAAAGAGCAGTGCACGTCCGACAGTTTATCCATGTACCGCTGGATGGCGTCTCACGATAGTCGTTAAACGTGATATTTAATTCATCTTGTCTCTATTTGACGACTCTTCAGTCTTTTGAATCTATCAGGTAACATGTTACAGCGTCGGTACACTGCTTGAATCTTTCGCTTTCACGCTTGTACTTGGTCATTTTAGTGTAAACCTCAGATACTGTTGGCTGGTTTCTGTTGGTTGTGCATCTTTTTTTAACCAACCAAGTTTGTCGATGCCATTATAATGACTCTGATCACTCTGCCTATTCATGCCAGACTCCTGTATAATAAGGGATTGACAGGTGGTCATTTGTGTGTAACTATTTTTTTTATTTATATGTGATTTGGTTATCGGTAAAACAAATACCATGTGGGTCAGGTAGTTGAAACGGTGGGCTACAAATAATTAGTTATGAATTAATTAATTATTCATAAATAATGAATTGCCACCTACGACAACGATGCTATCGTCCATAACGATGTTTCAACATTAGACATCGTACGATGCTAAATAAGTCGCCATCACCTAAACCTAGTATACTATGTCACAGTTTATTCAGCAAATCTTTGTTTGTTTGTTTTTGCAAGACCGAAACCACCAAATTAACCAATTTTTATTTGTAATTTTTCAATTTTATCATTCGTTTCCTCTGCAATACTTCAAAATGTGCATTAAAGCTGTGTCCAATCACAGTGAGGGTTTGTTTTGCATATTAAAATCAGATCAGTTGGGAAACTAAATATATATATATATATATATATATATATATATATATATATATATATATATATATAAATTAACAATAAGAACATGCTGGCATCAAGCCAACGACATAAAGCTCCATTCTACCAACTGATACGTTTACTTTTTGCCGTATAAACTTAGTGTATAGACTTTAACAACACAAAATTACATTGGTGGCATTTGGAAGGAGCCAGATTACATATGGACAGTGGAAAATTCGAGGTGCAATGCTTCCTTTAATGTGCATATGAGCTAGTGCTGCAGTGGCGTCTGTCGTTGCTAATCAACCATCATTAATTCACTGAATCATTGTCTTCAGGAATCTGTTTGAGCGCTCTGTGTTAGTCTGAGGTAATTACTCTACTGTTATAAACCATACAAAACGTGAAGATAATTGGTTGGTTCTGGTCACATGACTCGTGGTGTGACAGTGTAATCTGAGATGTTTTAACTCTCATTGCATGCGTGTTACTTCATATTTACGCAAGCGCGCTACGAGTTTCATTTGAAATTATGTATTTGAGTACACAAAATAAACAATATATGAGCAGTCCACTAACGCCACATTCAAACGGGGCGTCAGCGTTGAACTGCAATGTAGATCCATCGACACCGCTACAGTGGTGTTGCTTGTTGCAGAAGTTGGGAATTTCTTAACTTTAAGCGCCAATGTCAGCCAATCAGATCGCTTTATGCAAATACAGCTCAGACAGTAGCTGATTAAAGACTAATTTCATTGGCTGATGCTGCTATGATGATCGACGCCCTCTGTCAAGCATTGACCCTGAGGCCCTGTGTGAATCGGGCGTCAGAGTATTGTTAGGAAGTGGAATAAGATTGAGAAGGAACTTTAAGCCAACATCTAAGAGCGGCATAAAAAGCTATCAGCTTTTGTCGTTCCTTCCCAAAACAAAAAAATATTAAAACGTGCGACCCGACTTGACCAGTTGAGAACCACCGCTCTGAAGACGAATGGTAGGAAAGCAGTACAGATGATCAATACAATGTATAACCCTTCATTCGAGATAGTAAAACAGGGTAAACGAACAGCGGATTAAAGTGTCTATCAAAACTCACACACACACACACACACACACACTCTGGCACTGACCGTTTAACACACTGAATATGAAACGCTGCCCCCATGCAGATAGATAGATTGATTTGACTTCCGTAAGGCTTTAAGTTGTATGTAACAAAACGATGAACAAAAAAAAAAAAAAACACGATTCAAGAATCCTCTTGGAGACTACAGTTAGCAGTGTCTCACTCATCTGGATGTGGTCCCTTGATATTTCTCTTAGCGATAAACAAGCCTGTCGCAGCAGAGGCTACCATTGGCCAACCGGAGCAGAGTGTCCTCCAGTACCCTGCGCTTCGATGGCAGTGTTCTAGCAGTTAAACTGGAGCAGGAATCTAATACAGAGCGAGATCAGGTCTCCGAGTTCTCATCCTACAACTGTGGAGAAGCGCCGGAAGCACCTGCTTCCCAAAGTGCGGATACAGACAGTCAAAACGGTTACACGAAAAAGCTGAGGCTTGAGGAGTGCATTACGCTGGCATGCCGTCACAAACCCCTCCACGGGGAGGTACACACGCAAGGCAGAGACTAAGACGCAGATTCAAACACTTCAACAGGGATGCAACGTCTCAGAACACGCAATGACACGGTCATAGAGTCCAACATTCGACGAGCATATACTTGCATAAATTGGCGTTACATATGTCGGCCTTGCTAATAACTGGGTGTGATGATCGAGCGATTATGGAGGCACAGGTTTCTTCAGCAGAGAACATTAATCTGCCACACAGAGAAGACACGGAAAGCCACAGCAGAGACGCACCTCCAGAGGAGGTCGAGACGAGGACAGACGAAGACAATGAGCTGAAAGGGCAGACCCAAAGTAACTTTGTGTATACCTGGATCATCCCACGAAATTAGATTCAGCTCCAAGCTAAACCATGGGCGCTTCTCAATATCATTTGGGACAATAAAGTGGAGCAAAGCCAGACCACACGCAACTTGATCTCTCATTGTTAAATTAATTTGATAAGAAGTGCGCAACATTTTCACGCTAGAAAGCATGTATTATGCGGGAATGTAACAGATACATGCTGCAACAGCCACTTTAAATACAAGATCAATGTAGCCAATTTTGACGCTATCTCCGCCGGAGCTGAAGGCAGACAGTGTTGACGCCAGAGCGACCTTTGACGCTCTCACCGCCTTGGGTGTGAACGCACAGTTACTATCAATGTTGGTGTTTGGTAGCATTAGATTTTTACGAGGTGGGTTGTTAGCCCAACACTCAACAATCACTACAGTTAAAAAATAAAACCCGTGTTAATGTGAAGATATTGTTAACGGGTTTGTTTTCACGGTTCCTTTAATTTTGATGCACTTTAAACACTTTAAACGCAGTTAATAACAGGAAGTAAATCATAATCATACGTAAAACAAAGATATAGACAAACATGGTGTTTTGTGGACGTGTAAACTATTATGATGCAAACGATTATTTGTAATATTCTCGAATCTGGATGTGCGAGCAAAATCAGTGATGTGCGGTACGATGGCGGGGGGGTGCAAAACAACATTACAAAAATTCATTTTAAAAATTGTAATTGTAAATTTTTTTCGGGACATGTAAAAGTGTTTTGCGTCTTGTTCATTTTTTTTCTAAAATTGAAATTTGTTTCGTCCTTGGTAAAATAGTTTTTCCTCTGTAATTGTGTCTGATGATGGGTAAAAATGTTTTTCAAAATGTAAATTTGTCTCGAGGTTTGTAAAAGTGTTTTACACTTTATAAAGATGTTTTGCACTTCCTGGCCACCGTAGTGCGGTATTCATTAAACGACGATGCTTTGAAGTGACGCTAAATTCGTCATTTCACTACATTCAACTCCTCTGTTCTCACACTTTAACCTTGCGTCCTTACCTCGAATCCTGAAAAGCCGAAGCTAAAGCCGCCTTTTCACTGCACACGACATTCGGACTCGAGAGTTGGAATACGCCCCCTTGTGGCAGTCGCACAGAACTTTCAGTTTTGTCGAGAAGCTGGATTCTTGCGATGTCCGAAATAGAGTGCAAAAGCAAGAGCCTTTAGGCTATCAGACTACTATTTCTCATGGACCTGCTTGGACAACACTGGAATACATCACATGCGGTCTAGTCGCAGAAGTTCAAATATTTTAACGGGTCCACAGCTCATATCGGCTCTGAATTTTCCACGTATGAAGATGATCTGAACTCCACGCAGCTCCTGGACTACTCTTCATTGGAAATGAATGAATTCGTGTGCAGTGGAAAGACGCGAGAAGAGGAAACGAGGATGCACAAATAAGACTTGAGAAGCGCCCGTGGTTACACTGAAAGTGAATGAATGCACCCGTTTTGGTTTTAAACTCTAGATTATAGTTATCAGGGAATGCTTGGAGTGGCCTCAGTGGTCCAGGGCGGCCGGCTGGTCGTGCTCCAGCTTGTAGGAGATGTGCTTACAGCAGAGGCTAGAGAGAGAGAGCTCGCACCTGGGGGTCCGGGCTGGGTCGCAGCGGCCCATCAGTCGCTCCACCAGCCGGCCCAGCCGTGAGCAGGCGTTTTGCCCCTCTGAGAAACAGCACATGGAGTCCACGCATCCGATGCCCTGGTAGGCCTCAATAAACTGCAAAACAGAACAGAAAGGAGATGAGCAAATACACCAAGATGACGAAATCAGACACAAAGCACGACTCGATGACCAAAATTGGAAACAATTAGATGTCTTGATTTAGTTGTATTGGAGACTCGTTTAAACTTTCACAAAGGGGTCTTTAAATTTAACGAGGTTTTATTTTATTAATGCTGTTATGGATTTTCCAGTTGTCCTCCAGAAGGATAAGAACTGGCCCGAGTATCTAACATTTGACATTGTGTGCAATCATAGATATATACATTAGACGTCGCCTACCCTGTTGTTGTCTATTGGAAGGAACGCGTCAATTTTAGTGCAGGGTAGCGCTCCTTTGAAATGAATGCGGGACCAAGCTGCAGTGGAGGACTGTGGCCATCCAGAGCCAGAGACATACACATATACACATACACTGCAAAAAAGGCTTTTCTTACTTAGATTTTTTATCTTGTTTCTAGTCCAAATATCTAAAAATTCCTAAATCAAGAAGCATTTTCTAGACAAGCAAAACATCTTGTCATGTTTTGAGAAATAATATGCCAATATTAAGTGAGTTTTTCCTTAAAACAAGCAAAATAATCTGCCAATGGGGTAAGCAAAATAATCTTACCTCAAAAGAAAAAACAAGATTAATTTGCTTACCCCATTGGCAGATTATTTTGCTTGTTTTAAGGAAAAACTCACTTAATATTGGCATATTATTTCTCAGATTATTTCTGCTTGTCTAGACAATGCTTCTTGATATAACAAATTTTAGATTTTAGACTAGAAACAAGACAAAAAAATCTTAAGTAAGAAAAGCATTTTTTGCAGTGTATATATCCATGATCGGGGGTTTTACCAGAGGTCAGTATGCTAGTTTTTTTTTTAATTACAAAACTGATCATTTTACATCACTTTTCTACATTGATGGATTAAGTGACCGCACGGGCATTGCTGATAAGGAGTGTGTGTGTATGGAAATGTACTGTCCACTCTCCCTGTTGATCTCATCCGTGTCCTAAAACACACCTCCTCTCCTGCTTTCACTCCTCATGCTGACGGAGGGAGCGATTCGTTTATTGCTCTTACAACTGAGATTCGGGCGAGGCAGTGGCACAGTAGGTAGCGCTGCTGCCTCACAGCAAGAAGGTCGCTGGTTCGAGCCTCGGCTCAGTTGGCGTTTCTGTGTGGAGTTTGCATGTTCTCCCTGCCTTCGCATGGGTTTCCTCCGGGTGCTCCGGTTTCCCCCACAGTCCAAAGACATGCGGTACAGGTGAATTGGGTAGGCTAAATTGTCCGTAGTGTATGAGTGTGTGTGTAAATATGTGTGTGGATGCTTCCCAGAGATGGGTTGCGGCTGGAAGGGCATCCGCTGCGTAAAAACTTGCTGGATAAGTTGGCGGTTCATTCCGCTGTGGCGACCCTGGATTAATAAAGGGACTAAGCCGACAAGAAAATGAATGAATGAATGAACTGAGATACACGACAAGACTTTGTCAGGTAGTGCACACTATTTGGATAATTCTTCCTTGCAATCTCTTGTTTGATTTAAAGAGTTTCTTTAAGTTTCTTTTTGCTATCAAACACAAATATGAGACATTGAACTATATGAGATGGTGTTTAACTATCCTTCAATTTATTTTCCTTTCCCGAACATGAATTAAAATGTCATGTTTTTAAAATAGTTGAGAAGGTCAAGAACACTGATGTTTGTTTCATCACAGTATTTTCGCTTTATTACTTCAAATGAAGGACTAATAGTTAACAAATGCATACTCTAATTGAGGAAACTGATGTTATAATAAGATCCATTAAGGAGATTAGAAAAGAGCCTCAAATACAGGACATCTGGTCATCTCAATAATGGGAGTCATAGCTTGAATCACAGACACAGAGGATGGTTTAACATATAAATCATGCAATGCCAGAAGCGAGACAGTGATTGACCAAAAATGAATACATAAATGAAGCCATTTCTCCCAAACCAGAGATCCTTGGCTTCAGCCTGGACTTAAATGACATCTTCCTTTAACTCTTCTACTCAATACTCAATTACCGGAGACCCGCATGTTAAATTACAGCCCGAGTGCTCCAACAAGAGTTTATTCAAATCAGATTCGCAATCAGACGCACTCCAACGGCATCCAAAGAGGAGAAAACGCAGTGTATGAGCCAGAACGAGGAAGTCAATTCTTTGATCTCCCTCTGGAAACCTGACGAGGCATTATGCAAATGAGAGATATTAACATGAAATCCCTCCAGACTCTCTTCAGCATGCGTTGCAGAATTACTGTAGTACAATCCTGAGACAAACATGTTTGTTGGTCTGCGCTTAAACGAGGAGTTTTGGGTGTACAAACACTTAGTTCTAGTAGTATTGCATTGCAAATGACACGACATTATTTTATTTATGTAATATATTTAGTGATATAAAATATATATATATCACCAGATGACTTGAGTAAACTGATGAAAAACTGATATTTTGGAAAGTGTGGGGTGATTTTTAGAGGAATGCATATGGAAAAATGATTACACCGTATCCTAACAATACAATAATGCAAATTATACACTAATAATTCCACAAAGGTAAAAGTTCGCTATTAACCTAAAATGAAACACATTTATTGAAATAAATAAAAAGCTTGTTGAATGACACTAACTGAATAATAAAAATAAAACAATTGATTGAATTAACAATGAATCCCCTATGTAATGTTGAATTTTAAGAGCCGAACTTGTATTAAAGGGCACCTAGGTTACTCTTTTTTCAGATTTAATATAAGTCTTTTGCGTCTCTAGAATGTGTATATAAAGTTTCAGCTCAAAACACCCATCAGATTTTTCATTATACCTTTTACAAGATGCTGTTTTATACTGATTTCCAGCAGGGGGTGGTTTTGTCGTACTGTGCCTTTAAGGCGAGTTCTGCCCGCCTACTGTTTCTACGTGCCTTCCCGCGTGCTTTAATCTCCTCCCTCGGCTGCGTCAGACAACAGCCAGACTTAGACGAAGAAGGTCTCGCGTAGCGTTTGTGAGAAATACTACAGTAAGAACTAACCTTTACTAATCAGTATTGTAAAGTTGCATTGATGAGTCACACACAATATCGTTAAAAAAGTTCACGCGCACACACACCGCAGCTGACACACACACAGGCAGGTAGGCAGGCAGACAGAGCGCGCTTAGCTTAGCACTGTTTTTGCACTCAAATGTAACAGGATACAGGCTAACCTCCAGTGCTGTGTGGATATCTGTTATGCTAATGTACAAAATAAACCTGATTTAACTTCCACAAACCGGGATTGAAGCGTCTTCTTTTATAATTGTTCGGACACGCGGCTGTGCTGAGCTGATGAAGTAAAGCTGAAGTAAATCGCTGTAATTAATTACACACATAATCTGTTTTAAAACACTTTATACATGTGAAACTCACTCTTAATCACATTTGATGATGATTGCTGATCCTAGCGAACAGAACAGACCTTTCATTCCCGGTTGCTTTGCGTATGTCTGCCTGATCTTGTTGACATGATTATACACATGACTACCGGGACATGTTAATGCGCGCAGCTGTCAATCAATTCGGTGAGCGTGGGGGCTGCACTCCTACGTAAAGTTGCGGTCGGTCTGAAAACCGCTCCAATTGGTCCACCGTTTTCATGTTGTTTAATTGAAAAAAAAAAGGACAGTGTTGTGTTTATATCACCCCAATATGATGGTCTATATATACACATTTGTTTGTCCAAATAGCTTGAAAAGTAGATTTTTCACCATAGGTGCCCTTTAATGAAAGTACATTTTAAACTGAATTAAATTAAACTACAAAGTGCCTTTTAAATATTATACATCATATTTTAAACAGAAGTGAATATTCAGATTCTGGAAGGTGCAGAGGAAGTATTGAATGTGTGTGAATACTCACAGCTTAAATGAAGAGCTAAACTGCGTAAATGTTAATAATTGTTCAATTCCAGGACCAAAAATACAAATCCGGACAATTCCACTCATTGAAAATATGCAAGCGCTTGTGATTTCGATGCTTTATATATTCTTAATAATTACTAATCGACAAGCTTTTACTTTTGACATTAAATTTGTTCAGTATCTGTTACTTTATGCATCCCAATCTGTAAAATACTGAAGATATTGTGATGTAATGATTGCGCATGTGCACATTGCATCATCTATGCTGAAATAATATATGGTGCAGCCCTACAGTAAGTTCTAGCATCTACAAAAAAGATGTGTATTTGGTGCTTGACCTGCCAGCATCCACACATATATCGTGAACTGTAATGACAGCCAAGTACAGTAATCTCCCGCACATTCAGCCTTGGCGAGAAATACAGTCAGTTTTCTTGACGTTTCTTGTTAACCTGTGAGCAAGGTTAAAGTTTCAGCTATTACTACGTGGACCTTGGCTGTTCTGCTAAAAATCAATATTAGCAGGAAGTTGCGGAGAGATTAATTGCAGCATGACTCTACCCATGTCCTGTGACCGTAAGCAGAGAAACGCAGCTCTGATCGAAAGCAGAAGCTGTCCAGCACAGGCCAAAGGGTCACACTAAGCAATAAATGAACAACGAGGCTGCTGCCATTTCATCTCGGTCACTAATAAATGGGTTAGCTATTAATGAATCACATTTACCCATGCAATATCTGTAGAGCTGAGAGGATCACAGTAAAGCAGACGGTGGTTTGTGAAAATACACACCTGATCCGAGATATCTGCTTCCAAACAGACCAATCACACCAACACTTCTGTATTAATTACTGTATGAATTAAAAATAATCAGATATGTCAGATTATCTGAACTATCATGACTTGGTAATTCCATGCGCCCTCAAATGTTTCATTAAGTTTTAGGTGTTTTCCCCTACATGCAACTTTTGTAAAGCGTCTGCTTCTGGTTGGTGTGTCAGAGTTCGTGTGAAATACAGCCACACTTTAGAACATTTAATTTAAGCAAATTTGATTTGTGCGTGTTGAATGAGCTGCTCACGGGGTG